TCCCCCAATTTCCTGTCCTATTTGGCTGAAATGCAACTGAAAAAAAGGGGAATCTCTCAGTCTTGCTCCCCTAAATGCTCCCCACATCAACACACACACAGGAGCTAAAGCCACCGCACCTGAATGTCACCAAACAACACTTCACAAACTAATAATAACCCACACAACACCAGGCACAACAGTCACACACAGCAAAGCCGTGCACTGTGAGCTCACGCTCATCTTGTTTCCAGCTAGCTTGACATCATTCTTTGTTACGCTTTCTATCAAATCCAGACGGCTCTTACTAATAGAAGCTGAGCCTGCCTCGGTATGACTCCAATCAGACATCATACACACATATCCCAGAGTCAGGACTATGTCCCCAAAACCATCCACCACTCAGCCTCCATTTTGAGACCACAGATTGATAAAACAGCAGCATTCCTCGGCATGATCCGCGTCTTTCGACAACCAATTTATGGCTATTTGATCTGAAGGCATCTTTTCATAAAGCAGCATAAGCTTGCATGCCTTCTCTTTTTATTGGCTTATGAAAAGCTCAGCTTCAAATAAACCATCAGCAAAAGGGAAAAGGAGTAACATTTCAGGCATTCCCCAACCTCCGGCCTATGTACTCATGAGCCTCTGCAATCAATCAGTCACAGATACAAAGGATAACACACACATACTATACAGTACATTCACGCACACCTGTTGATGGCTGGCACTGGCAATATTCCCATGAGTTCAAAGGCTGTTCACAATGAGCCTGTCACTCATGACAGACAACTTTCACTTCTCTCTCCAGGCCCATGCAGCAGCACCAATCAAGCTAAACCTGCACAGTTTTAATCCAGATTTTTTTTTTTAATAAATAAATTATGCCATGGACCCCAAAATATGATGAAATTTGATTGGTTATATATCCCATTTATAGTTATTAATTATTAAATAATGTTAATGTATTTTATATTGTTACTTAATATTTACATTATATTAAGTTGTCATATTTATGCATATCTTTTTATTTTATTTTGCTTGCTATTAATGTTAGATGCATAAACATTTAAGAGAGAAAACAGCTTATTTATTTATTTCTATTTATAATAAGTGCTGTCAATAGTATGAAACCGCAAATTGTAATAATACACACTTTTGAAAAAAAGTGATAAAAAATAGTTAATTAACATTAAGCAACTTGTGCCAATAAAACCGCTGCCCATGTGAACAGGGCATAACATGTCTTGGTGCACGTCCATGACCCCCGTTGGAGGTCACAGTAGAGGTCTGATCTTCCAGCAACATGTGCATGGAAATTTGATGAATGTGTTGAAAAGCATCCACAAAGAATCTCTTATATTTACAGCACGCTCTGAATTGTGTGTGCGTGTGTTTGAAATGCTGAGCAACAGCCTTCTTATTGTCCCGGATCAGTGCTGTGCATGCGTTTGAAGTGACAGTCTGAATTTATTGCAGCTTTCATCCAGTGCCATGACCTCCTTTGCTCCACCTGAATGTGTGATGAATGGCACAACAGAATCTCACAATGATCACATTTTAAATCGCCGCTGGCACAGGGAAAGGGTTCAGCTTTCTCTGCTGTCTGTTATATGAGTCCTGGATTACATACAGGGTGGGCGGCGGGTGAAGAGATGGTAGAAATGCTGATCTGGATGAGCTTCTGTGACTGAGCAATCCTAGAGCTCAAAAAGAATGCAGCACCACCTGGGTGGCTTTGGACCAGCAAAAATAATAGTATTCATTCCGCAGTCATTCTGAGATTTTTTTTTTAAGGGCACCTATTATGCAAAATTCACTTTTACATGTTGTTTGAACATAAATGCGTGTTGGCAGTGTGTGTACACAACCACCCTATAAAGATAAAAATCCACCTGCTCCTTTTTTTAATCCCCATAAATCATAAGCAGTGTCTCAGAACAATCCGTTTGCAAAATCTGTAAAATGTGATGTCACATTTTACCCACTACTGCCACTACTGTTGACGGACACTGCCGTATTAGCAGAGACCCTGCCCTGAGTGTGCCGCACAATGTGTATCTTGTGTATCTTCACGCAAGAGCATTTAAAAGCAACATTCAAGTAAAAAACGTCTTCTTAGTAAAGCTATAGAAGTTATTCCGTCCAGACCAGCGAGTAATTTTCTGTTTTTATTTTATTGTTTGGGTCATATTAACAGCGTAGACAGCAGTATAGACCTTTTCCTGAGCAAACAATGAGCGACGCCATTACGAATTCTAACTTCCAATTGGATGCTCTTCTGTTCCGGTCTCCATAGGAACCCATTCAAATAGTGCCCATCTGTTTTTAATGTAGCTTATGTTGGCCGCTTCGTGTCATCTACACACTCATTTAACTTTGAGGAGTGAGGCACTGACAAATGATGGTCATTGCGACACTGTAAAGTGATGGCGCTATGGAGCAATGTGCTTTTAAAAAACATTTTAAAAGGGTCATAGCACAGATGTAATATAAACATTCAATGTCTTTCCCAGCTGTTTACCTTCACAGACATATCCGACTGTTTTTGTAACTCATGTGTTTTTAACAAACTTGTGTGTATTTAACCATTTAAGCGCAATAAGACATGAAAGAGAACTTAGTTTAGTACTCACATGCCACGTGACAGCCGCTTTCTGTGTGTGTGCTTTGGATGTGTGTGCTCAGAAAAACCTATATCAGAAAATCAACCTAATATGGCTCTAAAACGCATGATTTCAACGTATTAGACATGATAATCAAAACCAAACAGATGTTTTTTCAGATGAGTGTCCAAGGTACGAGCTGTAAATGCACAGTGCTATTCTGGAAAAGGGGGCGGGGAGCAGCAGCTCATTTGCATTTAAAGAGACATGCACAAAAACAGCATGTTTCTGCTTCCAAGAATCAAAACAGGCATTTTCAAAATGATATAATAAATTGTAGCATTTTCCTTTAAATGTTAATGAGCTCTGCTGACCCCGCCCCTCTCTTCCGAGCCGCTCTCAGAGAGACTGTTTACTTTATCCGCATTCATCGTGAAACTTGCTAATTAGCACATTATTAGTTAAGGCGATTTGCAAATATTCATTAAAAAACCTTATACTCAAGCTGGATCATGAATGATTCGCGCGAACAGACGCATTTATGTAGATTGGGGGCGCATTCCCTTCAAAAACAAACATAATCCACTGCGTCTTCAGCGGCTCAGATGTGAAAAGGGGGCGGGGAGCAGCAGCTCATTTGCATTTAAAGAGACATGCACAAAAACAGCATGTTTCTGCTTCCAAGAATCAAAACAGGCATTTTCAAAATGATATAATAAATTAAGACGCCAGTCCAGTCTGTGCTGAAACACTACTGTCAATCAAACTGTCGTGGGAGGGGCCTGTCTGTGTGACGTCACACAGACAGGCATCTGAGATCGGCTCAGATTTTAGTAGATTAACAAAAAACCATTGGGTGGATTTTTATCATTTTAGGGTGGTTGTGTACACACATTGCCAACACACATTTCAGTTCAAACAACTTGTAAAAGTGCATGTAGCATTATATGACCCCTTTAATAGGTTTAACATTAGATTATCAGCTCGGAACATACTAGGCATTTTCAAAATGATATAATAAATTATCTATGGGGTATTTTGAGCTGAAACTTCACAGACACATTCTGGGGACACCGGAGACTTGTATTACATATTGTAAAAAGGGGCATAATAGGTGCCCTTTAAAGTAATCTAATTTAAGTTTAACATTCATATTGATAAAAAAACACAAGACATTAGAATTGGTGTTCTTGCCTATGTAAACCCTTACCGCCACCATGCTAGGGTGCTGTGATTGGTTCCCATTGATTGCTATGTGGTTGCTAGAGTGTTTTAAGTGGTCTCTAGGAAGTTGCTAGTTGTTCTGGCTGGTTTCTATGGTGTTGCTAGCTGTTCGCTGTGGTGTTTTAGGTGATTTCTAGACTGTTGCTAGATATTTGCTAGATTGTTCTGGGTAGTTTCTTGGGTGTTGCTATAGGAGCTGTTGCTTGAGGCTTGCTAAGTTGTTTTGGGTGGTTTCTATGGTGTTTCTAGCTGTTCGTTTTGGTGGTTTCTAGGCTGTTGCTAGGTGCTCGCTAGGTTGTGTTGTTGTGGGTGGTTGAGTGGTTTCTACGGTGTTGCTAGCTGTTTGTTGTGGTGTTTTGGATGGTTTCTAGACTGTTGCTAGGGCGTGCTAAGGTGTCCTGGGTTTCTATGGTGTTGCTAAAGTAGCTGTTCACTCAGGATTTTTGGGTGGTTTGTAGGCTGTTGCTAGGGGCTTGCTAAGGAGTCCTGGGTTTCTATGGTGTTGCTACAGTAGCGGTTCACTCGGGGGTTTTGGGTGGTTTCTAAGCTGTTGCTAGGTTGTTCTGGCTGACTTCTAAGGTTTTGCTAACTGTTCGCTGTGGTGCTTTTTGATGGTTTCTAGGATATTACTAGGTGCTCGCTAGGTTGTGTTGTTCTGGGTTGTTTCTACGATGTTGAAACAGTAGCTGTTTACAGTTGTGTTTTGGGGGGTTTCTAGGCTGTTGTTAGGTGTACTGAGTGGTTTTTACTGGGTTGCTTTCGAGTTTCTAGGGTTATCTGGACAGTCAAGTCAAAAGAGCCTACCTTGCCTCAAGATATTTCAAAAGTTTCCACAGAAGAAAGAAATGCATATGTGTTTTAGAACAATATTAGAATGAGTAAATGACAGAATTTTTATTATTTTTGGTAAACTATCCCTTCAAGGTAAAAATTTTTTGAAAAAAAAAACATTACTTCAACATTAGCTCAGCGTTGTTTTTGTGTTACAGTACAAAACATTGTAGGAACAGAGATCAGCATGTGTCTGGTCCTTACCTCCACAATGCTCTTGAGGTCCCTCACGTAGGCCTGCTCTGTCTCCACTATCTCCAGCGCCACCCTCTCCAGACGAGTGAGTTTGGGCAGCGGTGTTGTGGAGGCAGGGAGGGGACCGGCTCCTGTCAGCAGGGAGAGAGGGGTGAGGTCCAGGCTGATGTCGGAGCCATTGCGCTGTGGCCCGGGGTAGGCCGGCACGGCTCCGTAGGGGAGTGATGAGGAGGAAGAGGAAGAGTGTCCATCCTGCAGCGAGGCGGACGAGGCAGAGGAGCTGAGACTGGCTCCGCGGTCACTGTCAGAGCACACCGTGTTAACAGAGGTGCAGCTCCCGTGGGATGCGCCCCCCGAGGAGGCCATACGGCTCACGATCCCACTCAGCGAGGACACAGAGGAGGGGCGCTTGGCAGCTGCAGCAGAGAGAAACAGAAACAATTTAGTGTGAAGATAATAGTGATCACTGAATAATACAGCACTTTTGGTTACTGAATGAAAAAAAAAACCCGCTAAGACATTAATACAACATTAAGAACTATTATGCAAAATCACAAATGATATCTCTTTCATATCTCAATTGTTTCTCCAAGACCAGAGCAAATGTTGACTTTGGCTTAAATCTCCTGCTTCTTGAAGCCCCCAGTAAACTCGCGTGCAGTCCAGAAGAGATCTCAACAGTGTTTCAAAGCTGTGCTCAGCATACCAAAGTCTGCATGCAAAAATCAAAGATTTTAATACTTATTAGGGCTGTGCAATATATCGAAATTATCGAAATATCGCAAATGTACATATCGCAATATGCATATCGCTACAGCTTGCAATGTTTGGGGCCATGAACAAAAGACAAAGAGAAAATCACTCACTGCTCTTACCTAAATAACTTTTGTAGCTTAAATAAGAATCAGTGCATATTGAATTCAAAGAGTAAATACTAAGCAGTGTTTTATTTTTCCTTTTTATTATTCAGTTCCTAAACTCATGTTAAAATGATTACACTAATGTTAAAATTACATTTTTATGTAATGCTCGAGTAAAACACTACCGTTCACTTTCAGAAGTTGTTGTAGGGGTGCTTTCTTATTAGAATCAGAATCAGAATGAGCTTTATTCACCACTTAAGTGTGCGCAAACACAAGGAATTTGTTGTGGTTTTACAGGAACTCTTGGTACATACATACATACAAATAACCATATATATATATGACACAAGATAGTTATAGAAGTTCACAGAACTGACTCATCTGAGCATGTGGCACTTTAAGCATTATCGTATCGCATATCGCATTATTTAATGAGTTATCGCATATCGTCTTTTTCTTCAATATCGCACAGCCCTAATACTTATTATTAATTTCTTATTATCAATAAAACGTATTACTCATCAAATACTTCACATTGCCTCTCTTTTCCTTTTTTTTTTTTTTACTTGTCTTTGGTCTGGTATTCTGGGGGGGGGTTCTTCTTTTTTTTTTCTTTTTGGGTTTCCTTATTTTGGTTATGTTATGTTATATGTTATGTTATGTTGTTATGATGAATCTATGATTTAATTTTTTTTTTTTTTAATATATATCTATATAGTTTTTTCTTTTTTAAATATTACTTGAAATGTTTTAGTTTTAGGAGACGAACAATCCTCCATTTCCTCTGACCTAGCAGGCAGGGCGACGCGGTCGACTGTTGCTCTCTACACTCCCTTCCTCGCCAAGTCTGCCTATCATCCATCAAGCATTCCAGCTGACCGTTAGCTGGAGCTGCTTGTGGCCTTTTCTCCCGTTCATACAAGGTTTGAAGGCACTTCGGTAATATTGATTGCCTGAATTTGATTTAAACTCACTCAAAGTACATGAAGGCATGTGTTTATCTTCTGCTGGCCCCAGTCCAAGATCAGCACCACTATGGCAGCAGTCGCACATGAAAAAATCTGATTGTAAAATCCTCCATGGCCCGACATACATCACCAATATGACCATCTTTTGCTTTTCGTTTGATGCCTATCTCAAGATCTCAAGTACTGGGTGCAAAAGCATTCAGGAGAACGTTCAAAGCGCAGCATAAATTCAGCCAGACAGATGCATGAAGTGTGACAACGTAAACCCAGCGCATCCTCTGGAACAAAAGCAGACAGCGTTCTCCGTCACTACTTGGGCATGAAGTCAGAAGCTTTCATGTGGCATGGAAGAACCATCAGCACCCAGAGTTCTTCACCCAAAACCTCATCCCTATGGATTTCGTTATCCCCAACATTAAGTTTAAAGAGCCTCCAAGCACGAATTAGAGTGGATAAATCAGTCAGGATGTCCAAGAAAACCTAACCATCTCTAGATAAGACTGATGAACATGTGCGTGAGCCAACACATATATACTTTTCTTCATAATTATATGATTCTTAATGGAAAATGGAATGACTTGATGAATTGTGCAGCTGTTTTAGAAATCTGAAATAATACATTAGAGCTAATTTCCTATATTTTCATAATGACATCGATCCACTTATGTAAATAACAATGTAAAAAACCACCTTAATTTGATCTTTGTGTCCGTAATTGCAATAAATTATTAGTCAGTGATACGTACTTATTATGATTTCCAGTAATTGTGGTATTTTCATCATAAATCATCTACACACTTTTATTTAGCCATTCATACTCCAATAAAGAGCCTAACAAGGCTCACCTAACAGAGAATCAGGCCTGTTATATCGATCACGGCAGTCTGTGGAGATCGTTTGGCCAGACGAGTGAAAGCCAAGAGGAAGAGATCACATACCTGATCTGCAAGGCACTGCTGCATCAGCTGGAATGACCACCAATGCAGTCTTCTCAACGTAGTTTAGTTAGTACTCATAACTAATTCGAAGCAAATGGCTACCAACGTCTACCAAATGACATCAAATGATTTCTGAAAATGACTCATATTCCAGGAGAGACTGAAAGGACCTCATCAGTCATAAAGCAAACAGGAACCATGCACTATATCTAACGTGCACAAAAAATGTGAGTTGGGCTTGTTGCACACTTCTCTCTCATAGAGAGACTTCCTGTCTAGGTGTGTATTAGCGCACAGACCGCAAAACCATAAGAGAGCTGCCAAACTCTTCAGTCCTTGCCGGAAAACACTGAAGAGCATTTATGTGTTCGAGAAACAAGACAATACAAGGAACCACTGAATTAGTTTAAAACATTTCACCTTAAAATAAAGATTTTTTTTTTTTTAAGAAAATGAAAACTGGAGGAGGAAATTGTCACAACGCAAACTTGATGATCCTAAAACAGGCTCCAAAAAATGTTGTATATATTTGGAGTCAGTAGGTTTGGGGCCTTTTTTCTTGAAAGAAATTAATAATTTTATTTAGCAAAGACGCATTCAATCAATCAAAAGTGACAGCAAACACATTTATAATCTTACAAATATTTATATTTTAAATAAATGCTGTTCTTTTGAACTTTATATTCTAAGAATCCTGAAAAAAAATGTATCACGGTTTCCACAAAAAATATTAAGCAGCACAATTGTTTTCAACATTGATCAATTTCTTGAGCAGCAAATCAGCATGTTACAATGATTTCTGAATGATCATGTGACACTGAAGATCGGAGAAATGATGCTGAAAATTCAGGTTTAGCCATCACAGAAATAATTTACATTTTAAAATATACATTTAAATAAAAACTAGTATTTTAAATTGTAATAATATTTCAAAATACTACTATTTTTACTGTACATTTGATCAAATAAATGCAGCTTTGACTTCTCTAAAAAATCATACCCCAAACCATTGAACAAGCAAGCACAAGTTAACACAAGTGAGTTCCTTAATAACACCCTCCTCCTCCAGATAAAGACATAATTTTTATTGAGAAAACAACAGAAATCAATATCAAAAAAAAAAAAAAAAACTTCAACCCTATTTTCTTGCCATTGTGTAGAGTTAGAATTAATAACATTTCGGTGCCTGAGCTTGACCACTGAATATCTCTGAAAGTCTGATATTATAGAAATGCATTCTTAAATTCCAACACAGACATTCAAAAGAGTTCAAAAGGTACTGCAAAACAGGAATGACTCACAAAATAACAGTACAAGATGGAGCTGAGCTCAAGCAGTGAATGTTTATCTGTATCTGTGAATCTGAGTGCTCATCCGTCTGTTGAGATACTTCCTGTACGCCGTGCCAGTCTGCACCTGACGGCCCCGTCACAGGAAGTGGTGAAACCAAATACAAGCGGTTCCCTCCAAAGGTTCTCAGAGCTCAACACATGCCAGCTGAGGTCTGGATGACATGATTTGGGTCAAACGCCTAAAGATGTTTGTATTATGACATTTTTATTTGAAAATGGCCACATATATTTGAAGGTATATGTATTGCTCTTTTGGGATGCATAGTATATTGACAGCAACTTGACATATTCCAGATTCTATGTGACTTATCTTTCTAAACATAAATGTGCCACTTGGTCTCTATTTCATGATCAGAACTATTTCAATCACGAATTGTTTAGAGAGCCCAATCCAAAGAGCGGTGACCAACTCTAAACAATTGTGACTGTCAGCACATTTCCAACAGTCGTGTTCAGTTTGTTTGAATTGTTAATGTAAGCAACCATTCTTTGTAAAGTAGGAGAGGCTGAGGTCCAAAAATATCAAGAGGGAGACCACCCGTCTAAATCTGAACCTGATAACTGTTAGCATTTCATTCCTGATAGACACTCTTATCTTGGGCATGCTTGATGGCTTATCTCCATTGAAAATTGTGCAATGTCTCAGAAAAGATATCTTTCATCATTTTCCCAAGCTCTTGTTTGTGATTTTGAACTCAACCACAACTTACAGTAGAAGTTAACAAAGGAACTTCAAAATCAGGCCATGAATGAGCGGTTCCTGTCAGGTCCAAAAATATCAAGAGGGAGACCACCCGTCTAAATCTGAACCTGATAACTGTTAGCATTTCATTCCTGATAGACACTCTTATCTTGGGCATGCTTGATGGCTTATCTCCATTGAAAATTGTGCAATGTCTCAGAAAAGATATCTTTCATCATTTTCCCAAGCTCTTGTTTGTGGTTTTGAACTCAACCACAACTTACAGTAGAAGTTAACAAAGGAACTTCAAAATGAGGCCATGAATGAGCGGTTCCTGTCAGTGACTTTTCACTGAGATATTACATCATTATGATCAGATTTCCAAACATTGATATTAACTGAGTGGCATCTGACCTTGGTTGCTGGTTTTTTTCTGGCTGTCGCGGCCCGCTCCCTCAGGCATGGTGTGATTATATCACAGGAAGTTGAAACCTGCAAAACAAATGCAAAGTGTTAAACAACAAAACAGTTTCAGTTCATCTATAAGAATTGTTACATGGCAAATGTATTCAAAAAGTGTAATACAAAATAATGGCAGTAAAATAACACTGTCACTGAGCAGCAAGAATGTCTGCTTGGAAAATAAAATAATAAAAAATATAATTTAATTTAATAACTGGCAATCACAGCAAGAAAGTCTGTTTGTAAAATAAAAAATAAATTAAAAATTAAAAAATAAATAAAAAATAAAAAATAAATTAAAAAATCATTGGGTAACACTGTCACATCACAGCAAGAAGGTCTGTTTGTAAAATATCATAAAATAAAATAAAAATTAAAAAAAAAAAATAATAATAATAATAATAATAAGATAAAATAAAATAAAATAAAACAGTTCATTGGGTAGAATGTCTGCTTGGAAAATAAAATAGAATAAAATAATGGACAGCACTGTCACCTCACAGCAAGAAGGTCTGTAAAGTAAAGTAAAGTAAAGTAAAGTAAAATCAGTGGGTAACTGTCACCTCACAGCAGGAAGGTCTGTTTGTAAAATATCATAAAATAAAAAAAAATATTAAGATAAAACAAAACAGCTCATTGGGTAGCACTGTCCCTTTGCGGCAAGAAACATAAAATAAAATATAAAAAATAAAATAAAATAAAAAAATAAAAAGCTCAGCGAGAGTAGCACCTCACAGAAAAAAACAGAAGCACAGAAATAAAGAAATAAAGAAAGTATATATAAGTGACACATCTCTAGGACAGAAGCATGTCCTACACAGTCAACTCAGACACAAGTCAGAAACAATATAACCACTCAACAAATGTAGTGTACACTCCCATTAGTTTAGACTGAGAAAAAACACAGCTGTAAAATAAAAAATAAATAAAAAATAAAAAAATAAAAAAAAAATAAAAAATAAATTAAAAAATCATTGGGTAACACTGTCACATCACAGCAAGAAGGTCTGTTTGTAAAATATCATAAAATAAAAAATAAAAAAAAAATAAATAAAAAATATAATAATAATAATAAGATAAAATAAAATAAAATAAAGCAGTTCATTGGGTAGAATGTCTGCTTGGAAAATAAAATAGAATAAAATAATGGACAGCACTGTCACCTCACAGCAAGAAGGTCTGTAAAGTAAAGTAAAGTAAAGTAAAGTAAAATCAGTGGGTAACTGTCACCTCACAGCAGGAAGGTCTGTTTGTAAAATATCATAAAATAAAAAAAAATATTAAGATAAAACAAAACAGCTCATTGGGTAGCACTGTCCCTTTGCGGCAAGAAACATAAAATAAAATATAAAAAATAAAATAAAATAAAAAAATAAAAAGCTCAGCGAGAGTAGCACCTCACAGAAAAAAACAGAAGCACAGAAATAAAGAAATAAAGAAAGTATATATAAGTGACACATCTCTAGGACAGAAGCATGTCCTACACAGTCAACTCAGACACAAGTCAGAAACAATATAACCACTCAACAAATGTAGTGTACACTCCCATTAGTTTAGACTGAGAAAAAACACAGCTAACCGGCTCTTTCTTTATCAGTGCGAAAGTGCCTTCCGCTTCTTTCACGAAAAGAGGAAGACAATAAAAAAAACTAGAGGAAAAAAATACCAAAGGTCCGAGCCAAAGCAATTAAAGAGCTGAAACTCAATAGACGCTGTTTGAGAAAGAGTGGGGGGTGTAGCTCGCAGCCTTGCTTCGAAGGGTTTCTTCTCGCACTTTCTCTCTCTCTCTTTTACAAAATAAGAGAAAATGAAACGTATGTAATGCTTGGCACAAACACAAAAATCCACAGCTCTCTTTCCCAAATGTTGAGCATGTGTCCTGTCAGCGCAATTGGTGCTGGAACTTCAGGAAAAGGAAACAATCGGAATAGACAGGGCTCTTCTATGATGTGTTAATGTTTATCATATCCCGACAAGCCGTCTCCCATGTCACCTGCCCCAGCCTTCACTCCGCAGGCTCCCCGCTGCCCGTCACTCAAAGGACAACACCAGCAGGAGAGCTCAACATCTGAGGGAAAGCGTGAACTATCCAGCTACCCTCCATAACTCAGAAAGAGACAGAAACAGTTCACAGCATAGGGAAGAAGTTCTCCATACTCGTTCTGCTCTGATGTCTTACAATAAAATTGACACTGCTCTTTTTCTACGCTTTGATTTATGAAGTTCAATAAAGAGGTTTAATCTAAAACAGGGGTTCTCACTTAAAGGGATAGTTCACCCAAAAATGAAAATTCTGTTATTAATTACTCACCCTCGTGTCGTTCCAAACCCATAAGACCTTTGTTCATCTTTGCTACACAAATTATGATATTTTTGATGAAATCGGAGAGATTTCTGACCCTCCATATACAGCAATGCAACTACCATGTTCAAGGCCCAGAAAGATAGGAAGGACATCATTAAAATAGTCCATGTGACATCAGTGGTTCAAACCATAATGCTATGAAGCTACGAGAATACTTTTTGTGAAAACAAAAATAACTTTATTCAACAATTTCTTCTCTTCAATGTCAGTCTTTGACACGCGTTCACGAAAGTACTGACACAGAAGAGAAGAAATTGTTGAATAAAGTCATTATTTTTGTTTTCTATTCTTTATAAAATTACGTTTGAACCACTGATGTCACATGGACTATTTTAATGATGTCCTTGCTACCTTTCTGGGCCTTGAACGTGTCAGTTACGCTGCTGTCTATGGAGGATTAGAAAGATCTTAGATTTCATCAAAAATATCTTAATTTGTGTTCCGAAGATGAACGAAGGTCTTACGGGTTTGGCATGACAGAGTGTAATTAATGACAGAACTTCATTTTTGGGTGAAATATCCCTTTAAGGCCCAGTAGGCAAGTGGCCAAACTGTAACAAATGATTAATCGCAAATAAAATATTCATAAATAAAATATCCATAAATAAAATATCCATAAATAAATAAATAAATATATATATATATATATATATATATATATATATAATAGAGACATTTTCTTTCTAAATAAGTTTGTTAAATTATAAAATTAAATAAAAAAGAAATCCTTAAAACAAGACAGAAAAATATTATAAAGAAAATAAAATACAAATAACACTAAAATCAGTCTTTTTAAATGATACAACTGAATTCAGGCATCACAACATTGATATGTACAGTATGATTACATGATACTCAACAACTGTAAATGAGTGTAAACCAAATATATTGAAACAATGCTTAAAGTAAAAATGAAAAAATTGAAAAAATGCGATAAAGAAAATCTTTCTAAATAAGTTACAGATACAGTAAGTGAAATCAGGTATCACAACATTAAAATGTACAGTACGCAAATATTTTTCAAATAATTTTTTTTTTTTTTTTAATAATTCAGGCAAGTAAAAAGTACAGTGTGATTACATTGTTGATTCAACAGTGTAATTAATCATACTCAACAATTGATGACTACATTGTTACATTTGAATATCCAATATGGAATGATGCAGGTAAATTAACAAAAATCTGCAAAATTGTCTTAATGAACTGATACGATACAGATATATTGCGCATCCCTAACCATTATATGGCTAGTTGCATTTTATCATTCACATTAAGCATTGTTTTGTCCCTCCTGTCAGAATAGACGTGCAACCAAATTTTGGGCCATGATCCACTAATCGACAACCGCTGATCTAAAGTTTTAGTGCGTGATACAGCTCCTGTTATTTAGGCAGCTCTGTTTGTGTCCATACTTCAGTTGCAGCGAAACGCTCCGAGCCAAGCGTAATGATCTGTTTTGGATGTCTCGTAACCAGACTAAATTAAAAATTACCCTGGCACTTTTCCATGCACTGTCCTTCAGAGTGTTTCTCACCGCAGTCCCCCGGGTCCTTTAGGGCCCATTTCCAGCTCTGCCTCATTAAAGGCATCTCACTTCCTGTAACTACGAGAATGAAGGTTGTAGAACACTACAAGCCTATTTGCGGTTAAAACCCCATGTACTTTTTTGGCTCCAGAGCTTGTTTGCTGTGAAATTCCCGAATTCCAGAAATGGAATTGTGGTAAAAAAAATTGACTCGCTTTCTGACAACAGATTCTAATAGCGAATAAATGTTTCCGTCGGAGGGGTTGGGGGGACAGCAAGTATTTTTGAGGCCGAGTGGATGAGAGCCAACATCTGGTTAGCCAGCGCAGAGGTTAGAATGAGGTTAGCGAGACTCTACTCTCCCTAACGCAGAGCAGCCAGTCTCCATACGTCTTCCAAACACCCTGACGTGCTCCTCAAGCAAAATTGCAACTTTGTCATAATGAAAAATGTCGAGCAGGAGGCCTTTTTCCACCCTGTAATTTTCATTACAGTTGCATCTCTTGTGGCATCATTCCAGGTGCATCCTCATGCTCCGCAGTCTGTCAGTCATAGAGACAAAACTACCCGCTGACAGAGTCCTATTACATGAGAGCACAGCTGGACAGCTGTGTGCCTGTTCTTGCCTGCACATGTGTGTGTTTTGGGGAGTTTTCTTTTGCGTGTCTAAAGGGTAGAAGAGCTGGATGACAATTATATGTTAGTGTGAAGAAGTTCACTGTTTCTTGTATTGTAATATAAAAGACTCAGTCACTGACAAAACCCAGCAGAACCCTTAAAGGGGTCATAGGATGCTACATGCACTTTTACAAGTTGTTTGAACTGATATGTGTGTTGGCAGTGTGTGTACACAACCACCCTATAATAATAAAAATCCCCCCCGTGTTTTTTTTTTTATCTCGTTAAATGTTTTCCCCTTTCTCAAATTGAGCCGTTCTCAGATGCCTGTCTGTGTGACGTCACACAGACAGGCCCCTCCCACGATAGTTTGACTGACAGTAGTGTTTCAGCACAGACTGGACTGG